CCCTATGAGGAAGTTCAGTTCCCAAGAGGAATCGTGTGTTGCGGATCCAGTACTTTCATACTGCTCCCTGCAAATTAGTCCAGAACTAGCGCTCCAGCAGGTTGCTTGTGCAGGGGTCTGTGCTGCTGGCACATGTCTTTGGGATGAGATATAAAACAGAGGACCTGCATACTTTTGGTCAGAAAAGACCCTGTAGGCCACTTAGCGAGAGCGTGGGTGGTTAACAGCGGTATCCTGGCTGGGTTTCAGCTGCGGTTATTGCATTCCACCTCCTTACGTTCCATCTGCAGTTTCAGCAGGGCATGGTGTTCCTCACTTTCACTCTGAAACCGTTGAGCAGTGCTCCTGTGCGTCGTTACACAGCCGCTGTGCTCCACCATGGTGGTACACCCCCAATATATATTCAAACAGATTTGGCTCCACATCATGTTTCAGGGCTAAGTTATGTCAAAATTACTTTCCAACATGGTCAGTAGAATTACTCTGGATTTAAACTGCAATTACTCTGGATCTAAAGTGCAGCCAGATTTGACCCGATGTCTATAATATCAGTTAGTAAAGTTTGCAAAGGTCTTTGGAGGTCCTTCTGGTCAAAACACAAAGCTTTTTGCTGCTGAATGCATATGGAGACTTGGAGTCAAAGAAGCAACTGGAGCAAGTACCGTTACAAACCTGTCAGCAAAAGTAAATATAAGCATGCCTATAAGTAATAAAATCTCCTTCATGTTGCTCTTCATTTGAATACATGCTGCTAGTGCTGTTGTCAGTGATACTTTGGGGAAAGACAGGCTGCTGCTTTTCCCCTGCTGTAACATACTGGTACCCCCATACATACCCTGTGTCTTTGGGGCAAAGAAAACAAGTCCAACAGGTAAGAGAAAGGGGGTGTCAGAAGGGAAGAAGATCTATTGCTTTTGATTTTTCTAGCAGAGTGGAGGCTGCAGTGAAGCCAAAAGCTAAAGATTTCCATTATTGACTGAGAACTCAGTAGTGCTGCACTGTGTTTGTTCCTGCTGCAGCAATATAACTCAAGGAAAGGACTGCTGACACTTCAACAAGAGTTTGTTTTTATATGGTTTCAGTTGGTGAAGGGGGGCTGGTGGGAGGTGGATGTGAAGTGACAGATGAGGGTAAAAAATTTTTAACCATGGTTCTTTGCAGGCTGGGTGTGTTAAATCTCCTGTCAGTTGCATGTGTATCATCACAGTGAGCAAGTATGCACACCTTTTCTTCGTGTTTACAGGAGCAAAGATGAGTTAGGTTCATCATCGTAAAAACACCTATCAGAAAAATGAGTATGTGACTGTATGAGTGGGTGAGTGTACATTTCTATGAAAAACTAGATACGGGGTTTACTTCTGTCCTACTGAGGTCAGTGGGAGTTAGCCAAAATGAGCAAAGTTTTGCTCCATCTGTACTAATGTGAGTTAGTGTGCTGCTGCACACTTTTGGTAACTTTTACCACAGGAGCAGTAGTAGGACTACCCATAGTGTAACAGCTTGAAAATTAATTGGGAAGCAAGGAGATGCTCCTGGGAAATTCAGCCAAACAAAAACAACAGACCTTAAATCACTGAAATTATGTAGGCTTTTCTTTATTAGAAACAAATGTTGATTATTTTTTTTCTGTCTACACCCTAATTAAAACCATCCTCTGCAATTATAGTATGACCAAATGAATATCTTTGTCAGCTTTTCAACTGTTACAGCTGCACTCAAAATGTTTCTTTGAGATCAGCTAGAAAATATATATCTCTTTAAGAAGGGCTTATCAAAGAAAGATTTGTGATAAACACTAGACTTGCTAAATTATTTAATCAAACATGTATCTATGTAATATTCTGTAACATGGATACTTAGCTGATATGCATCAAAAGCAGCAGTTCATGGTGCATATACAAACTTGCTAAAATATGAAAGCTAACATTGTGGTTTTCTATATAATTTTGAGTTGTTCTCAGAAATTATCACAATAGTGTCCAAAACCAATCCTTGAGTGCTTCCCAGCACATAAGGCTTGTTTAAGAAGCAATTTTAACTTTTTTTTTAACCTTTCTATTAATCTGAACTCCTGTATAATCATCTCTCACTATGTATTCAGCCAGGTGTATATATACCTTTTACCTATGCCAAGAAGTTAATTAAAAAGATAAAAATAGAACTGCAAAAAGTCTGTGGTGTGTACGTGTATGAACATACATGTGTCTGTGTGAATGTAGACATACAAAATTACCTGCAAGTAATGCAGGCACAGGAGTCTCACAGAAAGTGAAAGGATAAAACAACTGATTTCATAACAAAAGTTGAAGGCTCACAGTGTGTGTTTATAGTGTTTGTTTGTGTAGACTCTTTATTTTCTAAACAAGCAGTTTTTAAATTGGGAGGTTTTAAAGCTGAATCAAAAGCTTGAAATTTGTGAAGCCTAAAGGCCCTCAGGAAATGAAGACTCATCTTCACAGTTCTCCTCAATTAAGCTCCTAAAAATTAGAGTGATCTTTGTGTCCATCTTTTGTTGTAGCCTGTTTGTATCATCCAAGATAATAATTTTGACACCCACCACTTGTTCTATGTGACCCAGAAGTTTAAAGCAAGATGTACCCTAACATATCCTGACACATCTCTTCCTAATATACGGTCAGCAAAAATGAGGAGGCAGGTTCAGGGTGATTAACCATGACAGTGCTTTATAAATCTAACGTACTATGCATGTATGTTATTCTGTATCTATACAAACAATAGAGTCAAGTGTGTGTTTAGAGTTAGAAAAAGATTCAAGATTATGTCTTGTATCTTTGGAGGTTAATTTAATATGATTTAGAGATTGAACGATTTTCTCCATCTGAAATTGTGAGAGACCTACCCACATAATTAAAATAAAATAAAAATAAAATAAAATAAAATAAACCAAACCAAACCAAAACAAAACAAAATAAAATTAAAAAAACTATGTATGGGCAAAGGAGGAAGAGCATCACTGTATGCTGTACCAGTTGGGCTTACTTGTCATTGCCTAGCTTAGAGCTGGAAGCGTGCAGTGGTATCTCTATACTCACTGACTTCCTTGTACACATTGTCACAGGAGGCTTGGCTTAATCAGTTGTGAGCTGAAAAAAGTAATATAAATTGGAACCTTTTGTCATGAAATATTTAAATATGGATATGATTTAATGGCTTTGGGGAGAAAATTTAGCGTGAGAGATTGTAAGAAACAAGAAATCGATTACATGTAAGAAAGGACTCGAACTTCTAATCAAGTATTACCATATACAGAGAGATCCCTAGCTAGTTATAGCTTAATTCAAAGGGGATAATGGTTTGATTTTTTTGTTAATTTTAAGTTTTATCAAAAAATGACATTCCTATTCGCTCTTTATCTAGTTTTGCATAATACATACTTACAATGATTTATGGAAAGCCATCACTATGTAAATATTGAAGCATATGCTACACAGTATCCATAAGTAGTGTGTTTTCTATGAAACATAGGCATTGGTGCAATTTTTATTTACTTTTGCTGTGGGAGAAAAGCCAAACAACTTCTTGCTGAAAATTAACAAGATACAGCTTGATCTGACGAGTAGGAGTAGGCAGGGATCATTCAAGAGCAGCATTCTGATTCCCCGCTGTTTCTATGACAGCGAGGGCTGCCCCGCGACAATCACGCCCTTGACTGCCAGTTTCTCCGATCAGTGGGACTCAGCAGCCGCCGAAGCTCTGGCCCTCCCCATTGCCAATCCTTACACGAAATGAAACAAAGGGTGGTGGCCTCTCATCGAGAGGTAGCTCGTGTAGTCAACTGCCAGCTTCTCCGGGGTAAGCTGTGGAATTACCCCCCCCAAAAGCATACTGGAAGGCCCCCGCATTTAGACAATGTCTGCCTGTTCTGCACACGCAAAGAGCTGGGTGCGCTGCCGCCGGGTGAGGGACTGTGTGATACCACCTTCCGCTTACGTGCAGGAGCCTGTCGCAGGATCTGTACCTGCTGTTCTCATGAGTTACTGCCGCGCTGGCTGTATTTAATTTTTATTTACTTAAATATCCGTATTTGTAAAGCATCCATCTGTTACATAAGCCTGTGAGTGATTTGCAAATTAAAGCAAAACCAAAACAAATTACTACCAGTAGTACATTACAAAGCAGAGTGCAGCTGGCTGCAGACAGGAATCCTAATTCAATACATGTAAGCAGTGTAAATTAGACGATGTTATTTTCATCTTCAAACAATGCAAGTTACAGTTAGAAGGAATTAATACTTGTGGCTCGGGATCAGAAAAGTGCATGTATAGATTGGATCAGAGGTGACAGCGAAGGCCTAGAGACCAAAATCTGAACTGAGGCTAGTTTTGCAGTTCCAGGTAGGAATTACTCAAATGTAGAACGGGCATGGCTGGCTGGAAGTTGTGGGAGAAGTAGATGTAGGAAGCTTTAGGTCACACTCATGGAAAGAGTAGCCAAAGTTAGCAGGATGCAAAAAAAAATATTATTTTAGAGCTTTAAAATATGAACGTGTTCTTTAATTGTTTCTTTGTGGTGGTGGTGGGTTTTTTTCTCCCTCCTCTTGCCTCATTTTTTTTTTTTTTTGTTTCACTTTATTTTGTTGTTGGGTGGGGTTTTCTGATTATTTCTGGATTATTTCTACGAGATAGCACTGACTATCTGTAAAATAGTGCTCCATCAGACAGGTAGTAGTGGGAGACCTTAGAAATTAGAGATGTCCACGGTGCTTAAAGGTGCTCAAAGGTGGGGACATTTCCTGACTAAAGCTGCAAACCAGGACCAGCATCTGCATCATGGTGTTTCCTTCATCACTGTGTAAATATATGCTGAACATTTTCTGCATAGAAATGGTTTCTGGGGCTTTCTGTCTGGCTCAGCTGGTAAGATTTTCCATAATTAACTGCTGTTGAGGGTTTCATAGTCTTGTAAGGCTTGATTGCGAATGGTCATGTGTGGAGCCTTTCTAAAGGTTTTACAGTCGCATCTAAAGTACTGAAATATACATGGCGCTGACCTTTGTCATTAACTTTGTATCCAGAGAGGTGACATAGATCAGAATTGAAATAATAAAACTAGCAGCAATCAGATAAATATATGCTTAATATTGGGGGGGCAAACTGCATTTTCCAGTAGTCTAGAAAATGTGAGAGGAGAGAAGAATCAATCCTCTGAAGACTGAAGATGACAAAATAAATAAACAAATAATACCTGGGGGCGGGGGCTGGGGGGTGGGAGGGGAGGTGTTTGGAGGTTTCATAATCAAACAAGACCTAGTGGGTTTTGCAGTAGTGTGTAGTCCAAAGTGTTCCGATAAGGTTCTGAAGCTGAGATTCAAGATTTTAAAAGAACAGAGACAGTACAGAGGAGTATCTTGCAAGGCTTTCAAACTGTTTAACGCATGAGGAAGCATTGGAATAATTCTGGTTTGATGGCCTGCAACAGTGCTTGTTGGTTATAGTTACTGTGCTGATGTTATGTCCAGCATTTGCCCAAAAGGAAAGATGCCAATAAAATGATGTATTCATTATATAAGTATTTTAATATGTTTTTATCAATACATGCTGGAATGGATTGCCTGACATTACATTGCAGAATTTTTAAGTCCTACCTTCAGGCAAATCTCATGCTTACTAGCAAAAATGAAAGTGTGAAATGCTTTTTAATGTATATTTAACAACAGATAGTCTAGTGATTACTGATGTGTATTCTCTCTGGATTTTTCCCTTGCTATCAGAAGGCAATGTTAAGAGACAACATTTTTACACATTTATGCTATCTACATCCATCAGATGCTTACTTTTTACATATTTTTAACTGTCATTTATAACAAGGCTGCAAAAAGTAATCTCTTAAGTCTAAACCATACCAAGATTGCAAGTTTACAATCAATTGCCAGTAATAATCCAGTTATGCTTAAAAACAGTGTTCCAATTTCTACCTTTTGATGCAAGTTTATAATGAATGTGTTTTTCAGTATTGCTGTTGGGGGGGCGGGGGGAGGGAAAGGGGAGAAAAAAATAAGGAGTAAGGTACAAGTGTTATGTGCTGGTTTTAAGATTTTTTGCCTTGCATCAAAATTTCTTGTGAGATGGCCAATGAGTGACTTAAGTCTTATATCTGCTTATATTTAAGAAGCAAATCAATCAAATGCATTTATTTAGCTCCTTATTATAGTGTCACCATTTAATAGTGATTAAGGTACAATTTTCTATATTTTACAATGGAGTGTACAGCAACAGCGTGTGTTTTACGCTAAGGTATGCTAAACAGTAGCATTGTACGTGGATCACTGTTGTTAAAATAAAAGTATTGAAATAATTTTAGATCACAGAGCCCTATGGTCTACATTTTGTTTGCTCCGACATTATTAAACAAAATCTATTTTTCGACTGTGACTCTAATTACTACATTTGCATGGCTGGAAAGTTTGCATTTTTTGGTCGAGTTCTATTAACGCTGTTTCCATGTTAGTTTTTGAACTTAGTGTTTCATGCTCAGGCAGCAGAGCACCTTCTATTGAATTCAATAATTATGCAGAATCAATAAGTTTTTTCTTTGTGTTTGTCTTTGTTGTTTCTTTGATATGGCCTCTAGGATGCTGCAGGCAAGGTGCTGGACCGCTGGGCCATCATGTCCAGGGAAGAAGAGATCATTACCCTTCAGCAGTTCCTGAGATTTGGAGAAACCAAATCCATCGTGGAGCTGATGGCAATTCAAGAAAAAGAAGGGCAGGCTGTGGCTGTGCCATCTTCAAAGACAGATTCAGACATAAGGACTTTTATTGAAAGCAATAATCGCACCAGGAGCCCAAGTCTCCTTGCTCACCTGGAGAATAGCAACCCTTCCAGCATTCATCATTTTGAAAACATACCCAATAGCCTCGCATTCAGTACATAAACCCAGTCTCTGCTCCACTGCTGGGGCTGCCTCCAAACGGCCTCCTGCTGGAACAGCCGGCAATGAGACTCCGTGAACCAAGCCTTACGACCCAAAATGAATATAACGAAAGCAGTGAATCTGAAGTTTCCCCTACGCCTTTCAAGAATGAGCAGACATCCAGCAGGAAGAATGCTTTGACCAGCATTACAAATGTTGAGCCCAAAACTGAGCCAGCCTGTGTCTCTCCTGTTCAGACGCCTACGCCTGTCAATGATTTATCAAAACCAGAACACACTAAAAGCTCATTCCGCATTCACAGAATGAGGAGAATGGGGTCGGCCTCCAGGAAAGGAAGAGTGTTTTGCAATGCATGTGGCAAAACTTTCTATGACAAAGGTACTCTCAAAATCCACTACAATGCCGTTCACCTAAAAATCAAGCACCGGTGCACTATTGAGGGCTGCAACATGGTCTTCAGCTCTCTCAGAAGCCGCAATCGCCACAGTGCTAATCCCAATCCCCGACTCCACATGCCTATGCTAAGGAATAACCGTGACAAAGATCTAATTCGTGCTACATCAGGTGCCGCCACTCCGGTCATCGCAAGTACAAAATCCAACCTAACTTTAACAAGCCCTGGGCGTCCACCAATGGGGTTCACCACGCCCCCTCTAGATCCTGTACTACAGAACCCTCTTCCCAGTCAATTGGTGTTCCCAGCTTTAAAGACTGTCCAACCTGTTCCTCCTTTTTACAGAAATTTACTTACTCCCGGAGAGATGGTGAGCCCTCCAACCTCACTCCCTACCAGTCCAATAATACCAGCAGTGAGTGGCATTGAGCAGCATCCCCCTCCTCCTTCAGAGTCATCAGTACCTTCAGTGCTGATGCCCACCCCAGAGCCTAATGCTGACCTTGCCCCCAAGAAGAAGCCAAGGAAGTCAAGCATGCCAGTTAAAATTGAAAAGGAAGTTATTGATACTGCCGATGAGTTTGATGATGAAGATGAAGAAGTGAATGACAGCAGCACAATGGTGAATGACATTGGTCATGACAATCACTGCCATTCTCAGGAGGAAATGAGCCCAGGCCTGTCTGTGAAAGACTTTTCCAAAAGTGACAGAAGCAGATGCATTTCCAGACCAGACATAAGAAGGGCAGACAGCATGACATCAGAAGACCAGGAGCACGAGAGAGACTATGAAAATGAGTCGGAGTCGTCAGAGCCCAAATTGTGTGAGGAATCCATGGAAGGCGATGATCGCCTCCATGAACCTGGTGAAAAATCCATGATGCACAGTGACAGACCAGAAGAAAACCACAATGACTCTTCCAACCAGGATGTCATAAAGGTGAAGGAAGAGTATACAGACCCTACATATGATATGTTCTACATGAGCCAATATGGACTGTACAATGGAGGCAGTGCCAGCATGGCTGCCCTTCATGAAAGTTTCGCTACTACATTCAACTACAGCAGCCCTCAGAAGTTCTCCCCAGAAGGGGAAATGTGCTCCAGCCCAGACCCCAAGATCTGCTACGTGTGCAAGAAAAGTTTCAAGAGTTCCTACAGTGTGAAGCTTCACTACAGAAATGTTCATTTAAAAGAGATGCATGTCTGCACAGTGGCTGGCTGTAACGCTGCGTTCCCATCACGGAGAAGCAGAGACAGGTCAGTAAATATTAATTGATTTTCTACATTATTAAATGTGTTGAATTATGTAAGAATAGGCAGTTTAGGATATATGAAGAAATAGAGAGATGCACAGTAATGACAAGTGACAATTGTGTTCCCATGACATTGAGAGAGTTTTATCACTTTAAGATTTTCATTGTTGCTTGGCATTCAGAATAGTACATATTGTGCCATCCTCTTAAGTGACTGGCTAGATGATAAATGTCATTATTCTTTCTGTGTGCCTGTGAACGTGTGTATTGTACTTCTATTTATGAGCTGCACCTTTTATTACATTTATTTTCTTCTCCCTGCAGCTTTTAAAACAAGAAAAGCTTCTGTTAAATATATAGTAAATTATATACAATACAAATATCTTCATGCATGCATATCAAACCATAGAACTAGGAAGGAGGGGAAGGGGTGGATGGACAGTTGAATGAATGGATGGAGAGAGAGAACAGAAGGACTGGAATAAAAGAATGATTTCCATCCCCACAGGGTCATGTAAAAGCAAACAGGAAGCATTAGAAGGCTATTCTTTCTTCTCTTCAATTTTTAAAACTAGCTGCTATGTTGTAGCAAGAACAAGTAAATATTAAGAAAATAGTTGACTCTTCCTTTACTGGAACTTACACACCTCTCTATCCACTACGGTCATTTAGTCTACTTTATCTGCTTTTCTGCATGTGAGCAACTCCCTTCCCCACTGATGGGAATTATGCACACTCAGAGAGGAGAGGCTAGACCCCTACATATTTTTAAGATCAACCAGGGTATATTCTGCTGGTCCTTAACATGACATCATGTCCTAGCTATGCTGCATCAATACTGAAATAGTTGGGCTTAAACAGAAGCAGCTGGTCCTTAAACTCTTAGGTGGTTTGTTGGGGTTTTTTTCATACACTATTCTTTTTGATTCCTGAGGAAAATGTAATATAAATGGAATTTGTCAAGGTGGTAGGATAACACAGTTATTTCATACTTGTGGATAAAAGCTCTCGCATGTGATGACGATCACATTGTCACATAACTAAATCTTTCTGGTTCATGGGGTGATGGTAAGATTGGGTCATCTCTTTTCCTTTACTTGTGTTTCATATTTTTTCATTAAGTTGTAAAAATTCTGCAGACAGAAGAAGGAAATTAAACCTAGCTAAACATTTCACACACAGCTCCTTTTTTTTTTTTTTTTTTTTTTTCCATTGAAATTGATGTGGTTTGAGAGTGAATATATCATGTCATATAAAATGAAAGCAGGTTAGTGTTGAGGATACTGAGGAGCCAAAATTCACTATTTAAATTGAGAGTCCCGTCCTCAAATATCTTCTGTTACTGTTTATGAAATCCATTAAACGGAAAAATAGGAACATACATACATAAGGGTACAAGTTCAAAACACCTAAGAAGGACAATTTAGAAAGTTTGCATTTCAGTAGGATGAAACCACTGGACATGAAGCAAATAAAACTAAATTAAGACTCCCTTCCTGGGGTATCCTGATAACTTCTATGAGACTTGAGTTTGCCAAGTTTTGACTTGAGTTTTTTGTGAGTCAGTGGCATAATCTATGCTGAGTTTAGATATGTGCAACCCCTTTCAGATCCTGAAATTGCACGGGTTTTGTTAGTCAAGAATTTGGTATGGTTAATCTGTTTCCTGAAGTGAATTATGAAAAGTCAGTCATATACTAAGCAAAACAGCTTTGCATTCAGCATGTGAAGGTAGAAGTGGCTAGATTTAAGATTTGGAACTTTATGCAATGTATTAAATTTCAGCAGAAATCCACTGATAGATCATGCAAATAATAAAGTTAGCACAGTAAAGATTTACGTGTTCTAAGAAAGAGATTACTGTGATGACATACATAAAATATTTCTGAGACAAGAATATTAAAAAAGGGCACATTTTGAAAATATTTTGTGAACTATGTAGGATACTCCTATTAAGCTTATTGAAAGCAAGCCATAAAATAAAAATCTGATTCAAGAAGTTGAAATGCAGGCTGCATATTTAAAGATGAAATTCTTATTTACATATCATTTTGAATTGTGTAAGGCACAAGACCATCTTTTTATATCATTCCACTGGTAAAATTCAGAATATGTTTCAGTTATGTGTTGCACTTGGGACAAAAGACATTCATAGGCATATTACATCCTTTAAATGCAAAGGGTGAAGAGTGGTGATACACTTCAAAAAATTTAAATGTATGGCACAGTTTGTTCACCCATTCAGTCTTAATGTTTTTGCAAGTTCATTATCACTCCTGGTTTGCGACAGTTACCTGGAAATGCTTAGAAAGAACCAAGTTATATTCTCAGGGTTCTTGATAACTCTTTCAGATACCTGAGTGAGAAAAATCTTTAAACTTCTCTGGCCCTATCCATTCTTATCCAGAAGTGCAATGTCTAGGAATGTGCAGAAATGGAAGCATATGTACAGCATAGAAAACAAAGTGGATGAAAGATTTAAGTAAACATTTTAAACATTATTTTCTAATACTTCCTCAAAAAGAAGGGGTTTTTTTAAAAAAAAGTTAAGAAGTAAAAATTAAATTAATATATTCTTTTTTTTGTTTGTTTTGCAAACTGTTTAATTGCTCTAAAGATTTTTTTTAATTTTTTTTTTCTGATACTCCTTTTGAATATGTACACACTCTGAGAGAAAGTCATTACTTTTCTAGCTCTTCAGATTATGGAGAGCACCTCAAAAATAACTGGATGACTAAATTAATAGCATTACAAAGTAAAAACTTTTTCCAGCCATTTAAATGAATTTCACTTAAAAGCTCCAAAACATTTTGCAATTAATTGCTGTAGAAGAAAGAAGAAATAGATACCTAAAGCACACAATAATAATTCCTGGAAAATATTTGTCAGGTATTGGTGTTCCATTTTGGACACATTATAAAATGTCTCTCTGATTTGCTTGTGTTGTGAGTCACTAGCTAGAGAAGCTTAGAATTTCTTTGCTTAGAAAATTAAAATTAAAAAAGTTTTTCACTACTATCTTCTTAATGAAATCAGAGTGCTAGCTATCCCATAGCTTATAGAGTCTTGTGAAGTTATTATATTTCATTTTAGTCATTTTATTAATCATATTACTAGTATTGCATTAATATTATTATTCCTGTTATAACTAGTTAGAGGTCTAACACTCATAACTTCAGTTATGTTCTAAAAAAAAATACAGGCTTACGTGGAGATAAATAACATTGGCTGATCCTCTTTGTTTCCTTTAGAGCCATCTGATAGTCTTAAGACTTTTTTTCAATGCAATGCTAGTTAATCAAAGCTTTGACTACATTCCCCATGTCTTGTACATACACAAAACTCCAATTTGTTGACAGCGGGTGTAGCTGTTGTAAAATGGGCTTTGGAAGGGCGCGGTTGTGGTACAAACTGCTGGTTACCAGAGGTAGCAGATTGTGGTAGGAGCAGAGTCACTGCTGCTTTGGCTGAAGAAAGGGGTTTGATGCATGTCACAGCTGGAGCCCTCCACTGTGGAATGCATCCTGTGGCAATTCGTGTTAAGCATTGACTAAATCCAGCTTCACCATTCCTACACCATTTGTGCCAAGGTCAACTCCTTTATAAATATGCTTCTGCCAGAAAGGTTGGAATATCTTCTGAGATCTTTGACTAAACACTGCTATCCTTGTAAATTAGGCTCAAGATAACTGGAAGATTCAGAAATCCCACTTTGTGTTTTTTCAACCCGGGGAAGTGGAAGGCAGAGCAAAGTGCCGGCACTTACTGTCAATGACCCACTAATTCTGTTTTCCCTTCTAAAAATTCAACAGTATTACTTTTGAAAAGTCAAGCTTCACTGAGCCTAGATTTTTTTTTTTTTAAAGGACCTTTTTTCATCACCTTCTGAGCTACAAGTAACATCTCTCATCAAGTCAACCTTATACTTACCTATATCTTTGATCATTTCCCCACACAGAGAATTCTGTCTGTCTTTTGCTGGAAGCTCTAGACTTGTGAAAACCACTTTTTCTTCCATTCTTCACCTGACACTCCCCAAATTAGCTGTTCATCCACTTCTGTTTCTGTATTTACTACAAATGTCCTTTCTTCTAAAAGCAAGATGTTCAGGCTATATCTTGTTGCAAGAAGGCAATGGAGAGTAAATAGGAGAAGAGACTGTATTAAAATTATGTCAGTGGTCAGAAGCAATGTCATAAGCCTCCTTTTGAACAGAAAGACATCTTTTTCAAATAATTTTTTAGATGGAAAAGAGAGAGAGGGCAAGAAGATAAGTTCCTGTGATAACAGTGCACTTGAATGGAAAGAATTGTCCTTGTAAAACAAATTCTGTCTGGACTCAGAGGAGGACTGTCCTGTGAGTAAGGACAAAAGGGTCTGTGGCCGCAGTGGTTAGATTCCCCTGGGATCTGCTTCCCAGCCTCATCTGTGAGTTCTGCCCCAGCAGATACTGACTTTGCCTTACAAAGAGATAGCTGTGGTTGGTCCTTGAAGGCAGCATTGAGGTGCAGCTGCTCAGGGAATGATCCTGAGCCATCGATGAGATATGCAGATGGGAGGAGGGACTAGTTACTTCCTGTCCAAAGGACAGCAATGCCAAAGGTTCGTCTGAGTCTGTGTTGGAGAGCACATGCAGAGGTGAAGGTTTGGAAGGTGAAGCTTAGAGCCGCTGGCTTCATTTCTGGCTCTCACCTTTAAGAGCCAAGAAGTTTGTGGTCAAAACCACTGATGAAACAGGAGACATGTGGACTTTCTGCCTTCAGTAAGTCTTGTTGAGAAGTTACTGTCAGATCTTAAGGAGAAATACAGCCATCTTCTTGGTCAGCCTGAGGTGAAATCTCTTTCACCTCAGTACTGGCACTATTAAAATACGTGTGTCTTAAGGTAGGACGCAGAATTAGTAACAATATGTTACATCATTTTTCTTTCTCTCAATGTATGCAAAATAAATTAATCCTCAGTGTACCCATTCAGAGGAACAAAGCAAGAACTTTTCACTTTGTCTTTCTGCTACTAAAGTAGG